ATGAGAGGCGAGGTGAGCTGGGAGGAGGATGGGAGGCGTCGCTGTCTTTCCACGCTAGAGGTGTACCAGTGGTGGCGCCTCGCTCCTCTTGCCAGTGAGCTCCAGGTTCGTCGTTTGCGCTGGCTCCAGGCGCGTGTGAGGAAGCCCAGTGCACACAGGCAGTTGCTGGCGGCTGTCTTCGGGTATTTTCATTCTGGGCGCCATGAGGTTTTCACTGAGAATGGGTCCCTGGATGCGAATGCGAACCCCTGGGCCCTGCAATTTCGAGGAGACCTTGAGGAGCTGGTGAAATGGAGCGAGGAGGCGGCCTCGTGGTGGGCCCGTGCTGGCGGTTCTATATTGGGGCTTGTCGATCTCGAGGTGTCCCGGGACTTCGTCAAGATTGATGTCCGTCCGTGTACTTCGTAGCCGGCATTTCGATGTTGAAGTGGCTCCCCCTGGGCTCCAACCTGAAGATCCTGAGGCTCTCGAAGGTTCTTTAAGTGCGTCGCTGGACTCCCGACGTCCCTGGGCTGGTCCTGACGGCCATTGCGGGGCCGGGTTCACCACGAGGAAGGGCCTGGTCAACCACCTGCGCCTGGGTCATAGAACTTCGACGTTGTCCGAGGTTTTGACGGTGACCAGTGTGTTTCCTGTGGGGAGGTGTTCTGGGACCGTAAGAGTGCACAAAAGTATCTTTATGGAGCCTTCAACTTCGGGCGCTGCCCTGCCAACAAGGCTTCCTCGCTGAGGCCGCTGATTGAACCAGAGTCCGACATCATATGTGGTGTGTGTGTGTGGTTCAAGTTGGTCCAGATTGAAACTCTACAACGAACACGCTTGGACACATCTGCCCTGTCAGCCTCGTGTCCAGCCTCTTCGCCATGTCGGGGCACTGGGGTATGGAGATGTTCGGAGAGGAGCGGCCCGTGTGGGCCATGGCGGTGTGTGGGGCTCAGCGGCCGGGACGCACCGACGAGTCAAACGAAGCCAAGAGATCCCGTGCTGCAGGCTCCCAGGACGGCCACAAACAGCAAAGAAGCAGCAGGAATTTCTCGAATGCGAGGCCCGCCTCACGCTGATCACGGCACGCGAGCAGGCCATGTTCGTCCCAAAAGCGCACTGGATGCCGAAGGCGGGGATCGGGGCCAGCGCCTTCTACACCAAGGCCGTCGCCGACCTGAAGGGGAAGAAGAAGGCGAACGACAGCGTAGACCTAAATATGATGGGCCCACCCTTTGTCACGGTCTTCTTCATGTTGATGGCGGCGGCGCGGAAGATGGGCCAAGGTGCAGCGATCGAACCCGTGAACAACATCTGGGAGTCTCGCGTGAAGGACAAGCCAGTAAAGTATGTCACGCAGTATGTCACACGCGTTTCAGTCAAGACGCCGAGAGGAGAGCACGTCAGCACCAAGATGAAAGGCAAAGTTAAGTTTCAGGTTCATATCCAGCACAGCAGACCCGAAAGCGTCCAGCTTCGCGAGATCCTCGACCAGATTCTTTCAAAGGCGGGGGCTCAGAGGCTTGTGGGTTCAACCGCGTGGCCCTCTCGAACGCAAGATATCCCAGCTGCTCAGCAAGGGGGCCTAGAGAAAGGCGGTGATGCGTATCGGCAGGTGAAACGAATTCGGAGCTCGAGTGCTGATGGTGATATCTCATGTTCTTGACAGATTGGCTGTAGATCTGTGTCTGGGGCGACTCTTTTCGTTGCCGCGAGGCGGGGAGACGATCGGAGGTCTCAAGATGGTCGTGCACACCAGTCTACGCAGGAGGCCGGACTGATGAATGTGACTGGCAGTTGTCATTCTGATGTTGTGGGTGGTCTCGGCGAGGACCTGTCCAAGATGCATGCGGACGGTGCAACCATGCAAAACCAGATTTTTGAATTTGGATATGCATCCAGAGTGTGACCCAAAGCGTGTGCCGCAGTTTGTGTCTCTTGAGGGTGAAAGGCAGTTCAATGCGTGGACGCATCTTATCAAGTATGAGCGTGACTTGGAGATGGGTCGTGAAGTGAATGAGGCCGCGTGTTCTGTCCCTCCCTCTGCTCCCTGCCCTCTGCCCCAGGAGGTCCACAGCAAGACCAATGCTGCTACTCCCCAGATCCCTCCCGGGGCGTGCTGACAAGATGCCCACCAGCCCGTGGTTTAGAGCGCTTCCTCTTCCAACCCCCGTTTCCCCTTCGGGGAGGGGTTTATCACTACTCCTTATGAATATATTTGCGCCCCCTCCCCCACCCGACCAGCAACAAACCTGACCAAATAACGACCCCCCATCACCATCCCTGGAAACAAAAACCGTGCAACGTGCACATGGCACCAAACTCTGGATCGTGTGCGGACATCCCGCGATCACTCTGCATGGATTTTTGACAGGGACGGCGGGGGTCCTTGCATATCGTCTGCTGTTTGCAGGCCCACCATCCTTTTCAAGGAGAGGAGGAGGAGGAGGAGGAGGAGGAGGAGGAGGAGGAGGAGGAGGAGGAGGAGGAGGAGGAGGAGGAGGAGGAGGAGGGGGAGGGGGAGGAGGGAGGAGGAGGAGGAGGAGGATGGGGAGGAGGAAGGAAGGAGAGGAACGCGGGGCGCTGTCTCTTCAAAACGAAGACCCAACACCACAATATGGTGGGGAAATACAGAACTAACCTTACCAAGGACGTCGGGGGGGGGGCCTTCCGCGTGCAGGCCCACCATCTCTGTCACATAACAAAGGCAGAGGGATTTCGGCTGCACATCCCCCCAACACACACACACTCACACACACACACACACACACACACGCAGCACACAATGTTGGCAGACCTGCAGTGACTGCGCATGGTTTTGACTGGGATACAAGGGATTTGTTTGGAGCTCCACGCTCGCCTCGAAGTCTTCAAAGAGAGGAACAGTCGCCCACCAACTTCGAGGAGGAGATGGGGGCAACAGGTATACACGGGGGGGGGTCGACGGTCGACATGATGCCCAATGTAGCGCACCTGGAACGCGTGGCGCACCTGGAATGTGCGGCTCAACCCGCAGGCTTCGCGCACCTGGTTGGCGTCTGCATTGGTTGCCGATGGTGGTCGATGGCGGCACTCGGGCGCTACTTCTGTAGTGGGAGGGCGACTGGACGTGAGCGAGACAACCTGCGGCGTTCCCGCTGAGAACTTGACCCCTCTCCCCACAACCTCGCCCCGGGTCTGGACGAGGGGGTCGTCAGAGCGTCCAAGAAGGCCTCAGCGAAGTTGCAAGAATCACAGATGCTGGGGCGATGCTGTAGGCCTCCCAATTCTTTGATCGATAGCCCCCCAGGCGACCCAGGGGCGGTCCCGAAAGCCTTCGGAAGAGTCCCGGGACGCCCCCAAGGGGTCCCCCGAAGCCCCCAAGACACCTCTCAAGACTCCCCCAGAGCCGGCAAAAGGCCCCCAAGAAGCCCCAAGAGGGCTCCAGGACGCCCCGCAAAAATCCCCGAAGAGACTCAACGAGTCATCCCTTACCCCTACAGCCTACACAGGCAACCGATATCTCCACGTGACGTCACGCTCCCCTGTCCAGGGCAGCACCGCTGAACATCGTGTCTGGATGGGCTGGTGGGGGCACGCCACGCGTTCAACAACTTCCAGGAGAATCCAGCCGAGGCGACGAGGGCATCCCAAGAGGACCCCAAAAGGGGAGAACGAGGCCGTGGCGATGACGATGACGATGACATCATCGTCATCGTCAGGGCGGCGGTAGGGATACGTGGCGGGATCGGGGGCCTTGGCCGCGCCCCCCAGGGCTCCCAAGGGAGCTCGGCCCCAGAAGTCCCGAGCCCCGTGCCTGGGACGGGGGCCCGCTCCGGGTGCGCGCCGGATGGCCGCGGGGCCCAAAAGGGCCACCAGAGGGCCGAAGCCGACCGAGGCCCGCTGGCTGGGACAGCTCAGATCGTCGGGAATCTGGTGCCGATGTTCCTCTTCTCGCCGGACCTCTCCTGGGTTGCGTTCTGACAAACCTTTCGGGGAGGAGGAGCAAGGAGGAGGGAGGAGGGAGGAGGGAGGCGGGAAGAGGGAGGAGGGAGGAGGAGGATGAGGAGGATGAAGGAGGAGGAGGGGGAGGAGGGGGAGGAGGAGCAAGGAGGAGGAGGAGGAGGAGGAGGAGGAGGAGAGGAGGATCCGGCCGTGGCGACGAAGGCCCCCGAGGAGGCTCAAGACAGCGAAGATATGAGGCAGTCGCTCCTACTCCTAGGAGGCGTGGACCCCCCTCTCCCCGAGCAGGGGTCCCGACCGCGGCCCCTCCTCCTCCTCCTCCTCCTCTTCCTCCTCCTCCTCCTCCTCCTCCTCCTCCTGCCTCCTCCTCCTCAGAGGTCTGGACCGCTCCCCTGGGAGTGGTTGTTCGCCCTGAGGGTCCTGGGGCACGGCCCCAAGAGGGTCGGAGTCGATGAAAGCCCGACGTTTAGGAACATCGAATCGTTGGAAATCCGGATCCGCCGCATCCGCCGACGACGACGGCGGCGTTGGCCCCCTCCCCCCCGGATCCCCGACGTCGTGATTTGTTTCGCAACGCGGGCCCCCGGGGGTCTCGACCCTGGGACCGGCTTTTCATCTCGATTCATTCTCTGCCGGCCCCGGGGCCTTGCGAGGACCCCCAGGGGCTACAGACAGCAGGAGACCTCACGTGGCGATTTTTCTGGGTTTCGCTCCCGTGGGTGCAGTAAACGAGGAGTGAACAAAAACACCTTCTGTGCACATGTCGGGCCCGCGGTGGCAGTTGAGGGCCCCTTTAGGGCCCAGCAAGGTCGCTCTCCTGTAATCTAGGATCCCCCTTACCCAGACATCCGGCGCTCCAATTCTTTTCGGTGCGCGGACCCCCGGAGTCCTCTGGACCCTCCCAGGGACCGGCCCTTCGCCCTGAATTGGTTCTTGTCGGCCCCGGGGCCCGTTGATGGCCTTCGGAAACTGGAAGCGACCACGAAGCCTTCGCCGCGATACTTCCCACGACGCGAGGGCATCCGGGCCCATAGGAGGAGGAGGAGGAGGAGGAGGAGGAGGAGGAGGAGGAGCTCCGGGGGGAGCTCTGCGCCGACCTCCGCGGCGAGCAGGCCGCGGACGTGGCCCTGCTCGGCGACGACGCCGCGCTGCGCCAGGCGGGCCCAAGGTCCGCGCCCAGCAGCGCGGGGCACCAGTCCGAGGCGGTGCCGTCGGCGAGAACGGGTGGCAGCCAGGCGTCCATGCTGTGGACCCAGGCCTTTGCAGGGGACCCAGACCTCGATCCTCGATCCTCCTCCTCCTCCTCCTCCTCCTCCTCCTAGATGGGTCCGAGATGGCCTCCACGATGGCTGAAGATAGCTCAGGACTGTTGAAATGGCCCCATCATGCATCCAACGAGCCCCCAAGAGGGCGGTAACACGGCTCCAAGTGCTCTCGGAACACCCTCGGGGCCCAGCAACAGGGCCAAAATCCTAGGTGGGGAGGGGGGGGGAGGTGGCGTGCGTCACGACGCGGAATGAAGTGCTCGGAGCGGAGGGGGCACGGGGCGGAGGTCCCACCGGGGCGCTGGGGGCGCGGAGAGGAGGGGGGGGAGGTGGTGTGCGTCGCGACGCGGGAATAAAGTGGTCGGGGCGGAGAGCCACGGGGCGGGAGTCCCACTGGGGCGCTGGGGCGCAGGGGACGCGGGGGGGAAGGGGGCAGGTGGTGTGCGTCGCGACGCGGAATAGAATAGTCGGGGCAGAGGGCCACGGGGCGGGCGCCCACTGGGGCGCCGGGGGCGCGGGGGGGAGGGGGGGAGGTGGTGTGCGTCGCGACGCGGAATAAAATGCTCGGGGCGGAGGGGGCACGGGGCGGAGATCCCACTGGGACGCTGGGGACGCGGGGGGGCTCGGGGCAGAGGGCCACGGGGCGGGGGTTCCACTAGGGCTCTGGGGACGCGGGGGGGGGGGTGGGGGGGAAGGTGGTGTGCGTCGCGACGCGGAATAGAATGCTCGGGGCTGAGGGGGCAGTGGGCAGGGCTCGGGCCGACTGGGGCGCTGGGGAGACGCGGGGGGGGGAGGTGGGGCAGGTGGTGTGCGTCGCGACTCCCTCCTGACCTCTTGCGTCGCGGAAAAATAACGACGGGAGGTTGTTGGCTGTTTTCGGCCCCAGGGGGCCCTGTCCCCAGGGCCGTCAGAATCCGAACCGGGTCGGGACTCTCCTCTCGCAGCTTCTCCTAACGTTTGAGGTGGGGGGGAGAGGGTGGGAGGATGGGAACACGAAGAGGAGGAGGAGGAGGAGGAGGAGAAGGAGGAGGAAGGCAAGGCAAGCCCTGAGAGAGACCTGGGCGCTGCAGCTTGCTCAAACCGTGCGTCCTCGAGCGGTCTCGGGCCCTGGGGTCCCCCACGGATCGAGCCGGCTCGAAGAGTGCAGCAGGAAAATATGTAGAGAGAACTTTGCCGGGCAGCGCAAGTGGGGGGTCCCCGCCAAGTAGGCAACGGCGTGCACTGAGACTTCCGGAAATCCGCAGCTTCTTGGATCGTTTCTGCAGAGTGCCTCAATCTTGTCGGGGGGCCTGCTGTACCTGTTGGGAGACAGCAGCGCAGGACATGCGATTTGCTTTTCAATATGTGCTGTTGACACCGGGCTTGTTCGCCCCTTTTCGCGAACATCGATGCGGAAGCGGCGAGGGCATCGCCGATAGATCATCGATCGGTGATAGGAGCACCCAGTCCTTATTGGGGGGCCCCACTATAGACGTTGGGAGACAGTGATGCGGAGTATAGAACTTCCTGCGTTCCCAGGGATGCCTTCGATTTCACATAGTTCCGCCAGGTCGCAGCTCTTGGGGCCCTCGCAGATCGATCCGGCTAGAAACATCCCGCAGAACAAAAACTGTGTCAAGGGCTGCGGTCGTGATCTCGAAACTTGCAGCGGTGCATTTTTCCCGGAAAGGGCTTGGGCCCAGGGTTCTCTTTTAGTGTGTTTACCACTGGTTCTGACGGCTGCAGGGCCAGCGAAGTCATTGTGCGATAAATAACGAAGTCGCGCAGGGCCGGCGAATTCGAACTGTGAGGACGTCTCGAGCGAAACGCCTGTTTTTTTCAGAATTTGTTGAGGATGCCTCGAGCGAAACGCTTGTTTTGTGTTATAGATGGTCCTCTCCTGGGGACCCGAATTCAAAGAATCTCTTAAGTGAAATGCTTGTTTTCACGTGCCCAGATCTTGAGGATGTCTCGAGCGAGACGCTTGGTTCTACGCCTCCAGGATTTGTCGAGGATGTCTCGAGCGAGACACTTGGTTTCACGCGTCCTCGTCGCCCAGGGGGATGTCTAGCATGAGGATGTGTTGAGGAAGTCTCGATCGAGATGCTTGTTTGCACGTGCCCAGGTTGCCCAGGAGGATGCCTAGCATGAGGATGTGTTGAGAATTTCTCGAGAGATACGCTTGTTTTCACGTGTCCAGGTCGCCCAGGCGGATGTCTGACATGAAGATGTGTTGAGGATGTCTCGAGCGAGACGTTTGCTTTCACGCGTACAAGTCGCCCAGGCGGATGTCTAGAATGAGGAGGTGTTGAAAACGTCTCGAGCGAAACACTTGTTTTCACGTGCCCAGGTTACCCAGACGGACGTCTCACATGAAGATGTGTTGAGGATGTCTCGAGCGAACCACTTGTTTTTACATGTCCAGTTCGCCCAGGCGGATGTCTAGCATGATAATGTGTTGAGGATGTGTTGGGCGAAACGCTTGTTTTCATGTGTCCAGGTCGCTCAGGCGGATGTCTAGCATTAGGATTTTGACAGGATGAATCGAGCGAAACGCTTGTCTCCAACACGTTCCGTAGCGCGTCCCCTTGGCACGTCCCGCGGTGCGACCCCATGGCACGTCCCCTGGCACGTCGCCTGGCGCGTCCCTTGAGACGTTCCGCGGCGCGTCCTCCTGGCATGTCCCCCTGTCAACTAGCTCTGGGGCAGCTACTATGTGTTCCGGCAGCTCGACCTTAAGATCCAGATCAGTTCGGTGAGGACTCGAATGTAAAGGAGGACTCGATCCACGACGCTATAGAGCACAATCGCGGCATGGCACATCGCAATTCAGTACGGCGCAGCGCAGCACAGACTTCGGCACGGTACATCAAGATCGATACACTCAGCATTGCAACCTGGCACGTTCCTTGGCACGTTCCGTGGGGCGTCCCTTGGCGAGTCCCCCTGGCACGTCGCGTGGCGCGTCCCCTGGCACATCCCGTGGCACATCCATTGGCACGTTCCGTAGCGCGTCCCCTTGGCACGTCCCGCGGTGCGACCCCATGGCACGTCCCCTGGCACGTCGCCTGGCGCGTCCCTTGAGACGCTCCGCGGCGCGTCCTCCTGGCATGTCCCCCTGTCAACTAGCTCTGGGGCAGCTACTATGTGTTCCGGCAGCTCGACCTTAAGATCCAGATCAGTTCGGTGAGGACTCGAATGTAACACAATCGCGGCATGGCACATCGCAATTCAGCACGGCGCAGCACAGCACAAACTTCGGCACGGTACATGAAGATCGATACACTCAACATTGAATTTGCCCGTCACCCAATCAGGTGTCTTTGAAAACGCTGCCATGCGTTACGTTTCTATATTCCTTTCCGGGTTCGTGGGTCGACCATGTTTCAAACCGTCGGATCTCAAAGAAGGACAGTGATGCTGGGCATCCTTCGAAGAGTGCCTCGTCCTGATTATTGGACGCCCATTTCGAAGCTTTTCGGGCGGAGCGCGGCCAACGAAAATGGCCAAGGATGGACTGATGAGGCAAGGATGCAAGGGTACCCTTGGGAAGGATACCCATCCTTATTATGCGGCTTGACTGTATCTCCGAAGTCCTGGGGTTTCCGCATGGACCGAACATTTGGGACCCAACTCGGGGATGCACCGTGGGAGGCCATCATCTTAGAGACGGCAGAGCACAACAACTTTCACGTTGCGCACCCGACCCCGAGGCCACGCCCGCCCTCTGGGGTGTGTGCGGGAGCCAGGCTGCCCCAGGAGGCCCCCAAGAGACCCAAGTCGGGCCCCAGGAGGCCCCCAGGAGACTCCCAGAGTTTCCCACGACTCGTCCAGAACCGCCTCCAGGAGGCTTGCGAGAGACATGCCAAGAGATCCTCACAGGCATCCAAGAGGCCCTTGACCTGCAACGAAGGCACGGTGGCGGGAAGGGTCGAAGGCCACTAGACAGCTTTTACGTGGCGCACCCCAAAATCGCCCGCAAGAGCCTCCTGAGATACCTCCCAAGAGATCCCCGCAGGCATCCAACAGGCCCTTGATCTGCAACAGCGGTACGGTGGCGGGATGGGCCGAGGGCCACTTGACCACTCTTACGTTGCGCATTCGCTCCCGAAGCCTCGCCCGCCTTTTGGCGCGTGTGCAGGAGCCGGGCCACCTGCTGGCCCTTGCCCATGCTGGCGCAGGTAAGGTGCCTGCGAGGGGGGCTCTCTGGGCTGCTAGGGAGACGAGCGCTTCCCCGCTTCTTCGAGCACCCTCCCGGTTGGGAGGGTGGGAGCTCTTGGTAAGAACGGTGAAGGGCCAATAAAGCCTGATTAAAGAAAGACTATTCAGCCAGGTTGGGCCGGATTAAGCCTGTGATCAAGCCAACCGTAGTTAGCCAGATTGAAAGGGAGTGAACGGGAATATCCCGGATTGGGCGCGTGTCCGACCACGGATGTTCAGCGCATCTGGATTCAACCTCCCAGGAACTGCATGACGGTGGGAGGGATGGCGACGAGAAGGACGAGAATGATGATAAGGAGGACGATCAGGCGGAGGGGGCTGCCCGTGGACCTATCCCAGCGGCTGCGCCTCGCCGAGCGCCCCCCCCAGGGGGCACCGCTCTCACGTTAACGAGCCGTGCTCGGCCAGCATGCTGCCAGAGGGCGCCAACTGGACACCAATCTTAGCTATGGCCTTCCCGCGGGCGGCTGGGGTCGCCGCGAGACTGCCACAAAAGACCGGGAACCTAGCACGAGGAAACATGGAATGGCAAAGTCCAAGCCGACCGTGGGACATTGTGTGCCGACGCGTTTGATGTCGAGCGTGTTTATTGTGGAATGACCGACAGCCGGGATTGCCACCGCCGCTGGCCCTCATTTTAGCTCTGCCAGTGTTCTCCTCCTCCTCCTGCTCCTCCTCCTCCTCCTCCTCTCCAGCGCCATTGGGGAAGCAACAAGGTAAGATAGAGACAGCCGGGAATGTCACATAGAAACCCACCGTGGCGACGCGGACTCTCCAGGACGAGCAGCGGTGTTGGAATCTCTTCGCCCTCCGACGCTCCCTCGTGCTCTCTTGGAACGCCCCACGCCTCGGGCGATGGGCGCAGCACTCGCACCAGGTCTGCGACAGGGCCCAGTCGTCGCCGCCCCCCTGACGTCCGCCGACGCGATCTCCTCTCAGCCCTGAAGTACCGGCCGCTTCCCCAGGCCTCGCCCCCTTGTCTAGGGCTCCCAACTTCGCGCTTCGCGCTGCGCGAAGCGCGAATAACTTCGCGCTCTCGCGCCGCCCTCCCAAAGGGAGAATAGGAGGACGAGGAGGAGGGGGAGAAGGAACGAGGACCGCGAAGCGCGAAGCGCGAATAACTTCGCGCCCTCGAGGGAGCCCTTGCCTTGTCCACTCTTGACGGCCCCTGGGCCCAGGACCCACGCCTTCCGCACACTCCGTGCTGGAGGTGCCGCGCCGCCGCGGCCGCCGCCGCGACCGCAGCGACGGCCACCGTGGAGGCCGCAGCGGCAGCCGCGGTGGCCGCCCCGCGGCCACATCGCGGCGGCACCTCCCGCGCGGAAGGAGCGGAAGGTGCAAGTCGCAGGGGCTCGGAAACGGCCCTCGAGGGCAGAGATCTGGGAAAGGCGCCAGCATTGAGAACATCGCATCGTTGGAGATCTATCTGTGCCTCGGCCCGGGCCAGCACGAAGTCCGGCTTGCGCCGCGGGCCAGCGCCCCCGGGCGCGCTGCAGAAGAACTCCATGCGCCGCACGGCGCCGTCGCTGGAGGCGCACGGCACCGCCCACAAGAGGACCTCGTGCGTCTCGCTCATCAGGAGGACCTCCTGCCCAGGGAGCGAGAAGCCGTATCCAGAATTTCCGACGATATGATTATCCTGATCGGTGGGTCATGCTAGATGTCGGCCCTCCGTTTTTCCTTGCGCCTGGGATACCACATTTAGGTCGGGCATGTCCCCTACAGGCGGATTTTGGTCGAAAAAAATAGTTGTTGTTGCTTTTTTAAAAAAGGTCCGAAATGGTCAAGAATAGTCCACACATCGTCCCCATACAATTTTCCCGGAAAGGGCGCGGGCCCAAGGTTCTCTTTCAGTTTTGTAAGCTGTCCCTGGTACCATGACTGAGGTGGGCCGGCGGATTCTTTTCCGGATAATTATCGAGGTCGAGGTGGGCCGGCGGATTAAAATTTGAGGGTGTCTCAGGCGAAACGCGTTCAACAATGATGTTGAGGATGTCTGAGGCGAAATGCTTGTTTGCAGAGTTGGGGGATGTCTCGAGCGGGGGCCTCGTGGGGGGGCTAGAATTCAAAGGATGTCTCAGGCGAAATGCTTGTTTTCACGTGCCCAGGTCGGCCAGGGGGATATCCAACATGGTTGTCCGTCGCTGGCGCCTCAAACGACCGCATGTTGGATATATATATATATATATATATATATATATATATCTCCTGGGCGGGCTGGAACCATGGGTCTTTACGTGTGCAAGACATCCGGGGGGTATCTAACATGATGGTCCCGAGCTGGAATAACGTGTTTTCACGTGTCCAACCCACCCACGGGTGTCCCGAGCTGGAACCACGTGTTTTAACGGGCAATCCACCAGGGGTATCTAACATGGTGGTCCTGCGCTGGAACCGTGGGTTTTCACATGTCCAGGCCACCCAGGGGTGTATCTAACATGGTTGCCCAGAGCTGGCACCATGTGTTGGTACGTGTCCAGGCCGCACAATCGGGTATCTAACATGATTGTCCCGAACTGGAACCATGTGTTTTTATGTGTCTAGGCCGCCCAGGGGGATATCCAACATGGCGTCGGGCCCAACGCCGAATTATCAGAAAACGCACGGGAGGCCGAAAAGCGCTACCCGAACACGTATCCCAGTGATGTTTTCTTGCTATGGTCAGGGGTTGGTGCTTCGGGGGCCTCTCCAGGAAAGACATTGCGAGGACGTCTCGAGCGGGAGCGCAAATTCAGCGTGTCCAGGCCACGCAGGGGGGTATCTAACATGGCTGTCCCGAGCTGGAACCATGTGCTTTTACATGTCCAGGCCACCCAGGGGGGTATCTAACATAGTTGTCCCGAGCTGGCACCGCGTGTTTCAACGTGCCCAAGCCACTCAGGGGTGTATCTAACATGGTTGTCCCGAGCTGGCACCATGTGTGTTTTACGTGTCCAGGCCACCCAAGGGGGGCATCTAACATGGTTGTCCCGGTCACGGGCAAGGACTACGTGTCTTAACATGTCCAGGCCACCCAGGGGTGTTTCTAACATGGTTGCCCAGAGCTGGCACCTACGTCTTTACGTGTCCAGGCCGCCCAGGGGGATATCTAACATGGCTGTCCCGAGCTGGAACCAAGTGTTTTTACATGTCCAGGCCACCCATGGGGTGTATCTAACATTTTTGCCCAGAGCTGGCACCATGTGTTTTTACGTGTCCAGGCCACACAATCGGATATCTAACATGATTGTCCCGAACTGGAAACGTGTGTTTTTACGTGTCCAGGCCGCCCAAGGGGGATATCCAACATGGCGTCGGGCCCAACGCCGAATTATCAGAAAACGCACGGGAGGCCGAAAAGCGCTACCCGAACACCTATCCCAGTGATGTTTTCTGACTCTAGACAGGGGGTGGCGCTTTGGGGGCCTCTTCAGGGAAGACATTGCGAGGATGTCTCGAGCGGGAGCGCAAATTCAGCGTATCCAGGCCACGCAAGGGGGTATCTAACATGGCTGTTTTGAGCTGGAACCAAGTGTTTGTACGTCTCCAGGACACCCAAGGGGGGCATCTAACATGGTTGTCCCGAGCTGGCACCGCGTGTTTTAACTTGTCCAGGCCGCTCAGGGGTGTATCTAAACATGGTTGTCCCGAGCTGGCACCACGTGTTTTTACAAGTCCAGTCCACCCAGAGAAGCATCTAACATGGCTGTCCCGAGCTGGAGCCACGTGCTTTAACATGTCCAGGCCACCCAGAGGGGGAATCTAACATGGTGGTCATGTGCTGGAGCCACGTGTTTTTACGTGTCCAGGCCACCCAAGGGGGGTATATATATATATATATATATATATATATATATATATGTACGTAGCACCCCGCAATTGCGGATAAGAGTGAGGGGGCGGGCGCGGGCGACGCGGGCGTCGTCGAGCCGGCGGACCTCGTGGCCCCCACCTTCCTTGTCGATGGCGCTCTCCTCCACCTCCTCCTCCTCCTCCTCTTCCTCCTCCTTCTCCTCCTCCTCTTCCTCGTCCTCATCGTCATCGTCATCCTCCTCCTCCACCTCGTCCTCCTCCTCCTCCTCCTCTTCTTCCTCGTCCTCCCTCTCCCCCCCTCGTCTTTTCATCATGGTCCTCCCATTGTCGTCCTCCCCCTCATCGGCCTCCATCATCGTCCTCCCATTGTCGTCCATCATCATCATCCTCCCCATCCTCCCCCTCCTCGTCCTCCTCCTCCCCCTCCTCCCCCTCCTCCCCCTCGTCCTCCTGCTCCTCCTCCTTTTCTTTTTCCACGTTCTCCTTACATCCTCTCTTCTTCCACGTTCTCCTCGTCCCCTGTTTACTCATCCTGCCTCCCCCTCCTTTCCCAAGATAACTGCAACGCAATCTTTTTTTCCACTTTATGCTCCCCGCCTTCTCTGATCAAGGCAACTCGCCAGGGCAAAGTTGCTGGACGGGCTGGCGTGGATGTGCGGGGCGTGAAGAGGTCCTTGCGGGCTCAGACGGCATGCAAGAATCCGCCGCCGCGCTTGTGCGGCATTGGTTTGTTCAGTGAACGTGGTTTAGGTCGCGGGTGGGTCGCGGGCTCTCCACCTCCACCTGGAAGGAATGCAAAAGCAGCCCGCCGCAAGCGCCAAAAAAATTGGTTCGTACACGGAACGAGGTTTGGGTCGCGGGTGGGCCGCGGGTTCTCCACAGGGAACGAATGCAAAGGATGCCCGCCGCAGGCGCCGAAAATGTGGTTTGTACCCTGAACGTGGTCGCGGGTGGGCCGCGGGCTCTCCACCTGAAACGAATGCAAAATATGCCCGCCGCAGGCGCCGAAAAATGTGGTTTGTGCCCTGAACGTGGTTTGGGTCGCGGGTTGGTCGCGAGTTGGTCACGGGATGTGTCGCGGGCTCTCCACTTGGAAGGAATGTAAAAAAGCCCGCCGCAGGCGCCGAAAATTGTGGTTTGTACCTTGAACGTGGTTTGGGTCGCGGGGTGGGTCGCGGGTGGGTCGCGGGGTAGGTCGCGGGGTAGGTCGCGGGTGGGTCGCGGGGTGGGTCGCGGGGTGGGTCGCGGGGTAGGTCGCGGGTGGGTCGCGGGGTGGGTCGCGGGGTGGGTCGCGGGGTGGGTCGCGGGGCGGGTCGACGACAGCAAACGACAACAACAGCAAACAACAACAACAACAACAACAACAACAACAACAACAACAACAACAACAACAAGAATCCGCACCGCGGCATTCCACAGCAGCCACGCACCCGGGGACAGCGAATGACCGGTCGGCCCCCTCACTCTGATATATGATCCAGGGTCGAGGGTCCACGGGCCCCTGCCCCCCCCAGATGGCATGGTCCCAGGATTCCTCGGCCCCCCCCCCAGATGGTATGGTCCCAGAAACGACGACGACGACGACGACGACCGCGACGACGACGACGGCGACGACGACGACGACGGCGACGACGACGACGACCACGACGACGACGACGACGGCTGCGGCGGCGGCGACGCCGGCGGCGGCGGCGGCGACGACGACGATGACGACGATGACGACGGCAACGACGACGATGACGACGACGACGATGACGACGACGACGACGAGGACGACGAGGACGACGAGGACGACGAGGACGACGAGGACGACGATGACGTCGACGACGACGACGACCTCTGAACCACCACAGCACCACACCACATCCACAGGGGGGGGGGGGGGGGCACCGCAGCGCAGCACCACGCCACGCCCACAGGGGAGGGCGGGGAGGACCATCGCGCGGGGGGTGGGCCAATGGCATCAGCATTGGGGGGGGGGGGGGGGGGGCCAAGCCCTGGACCATCAATGGTCCCGGGCTCCGGGCCCACGGGCCCGCCCCCCCCCTCCCCCCCAGATGGCATGGTCCCAGGATTCCTCCAGCCCCCCCCCCTCAGATGGTATGGTCCCAGAGACGACGACGACGACGACGACGACGACGACGACGACGACGGCGACGACTACGACGACGGCGACGACGACGACGACGACGGCGACGACGACGACGACGACGACCACGACGACGACGACGACGACGACGGCGACGACGCCGGCGGCGGCGGCGGCGACGACGACGATGACGACGATGACGACGGCGACGACGACGATGATGACGACGACGACGACGAGGACGACGAGGACGACGTTGACGACGACGACGACCTCTGAACCACCACCGCCCACCTCTGAACCACCACAACACCGCACCACATCCACAGGGGGAGGGGGAGGCACCGCAGCGCAGCACCACGCCACGCCCTCAGGGGGGGGCGGGGGGGACCATCGCGCGGGGGGGGGGTAAGGTTGACCAAACCGTGTGCGTGTGTGTACCACCTCGGTTGTTGGTTTATTACTTCTTCTGTACTTGCTTTCCTTTGGCTTATTCTTTCCGTCATCTCTAAAGGAATTGCTCAAAGTAGCGGAATACAGAATGATTTCTTTTGTCGCAAACTACAAAGTGATGCATTTGTGTGGCGTATTACAAAGAGAATCCTTTTGTGGTGAATTACAACTTGTTTCCTTTTGTGGCGGATTACACAGGGATTCCTTTTGTGGACGATTACACAGGGATTCCTTTTGTGAAGGATTACACATTG